GGCTGCTGCAGCATCAACATCACAACCAACAGAACAATCCTCCGCAGCCCTCAAAGCCCAGCTCACCAAATCCCTCCGCGCCGACGTGCCGGACTGCATCTCCCTCAAGGTCCTCCGAAGCCACCCGGGCCGCACGGTCGACGTGCTCGCCGTCGCCACCACGAACCCGCCCGAAGCGAAGCGCGCAAAGGGCGGGCCCCGCGGCATCATGCTGGCGTTCAACGTCACGGACCACTCCGTCGCGCCCGCGCAGACGGTCGCCGTGCAGATCTTCAGGCCGCACAAGGCTGCGCTGCCCGTGATTCACCAGGGCGACGCGGTGCTGTTACGGAACTTTAGCGTCATGGTGCTTACGAGGAGCGGGTTCGGCTTGAGGGCGAATGATGGTTCTAGTTGGGCTGTTTTCGAGACGAGACGGCACGGACATGGGGCAGAAGGTCAGGGAGGAGGGGACGGTGGTAGCAGTGCTGATGCGGACGCTGGCGATGATTTGCCGCAGATTCGGGGTCCGCCTGTGGAGCTGTCTGAGGGGGAGACGGGGTATGCGGCTCTGCTTAGGCGGTGGTATGCCGGGCTGGATGCCAAGTCGCTCGCGAGGTTGGACAAGGCTAACGAGGCGGCGCCGGCTGTTGGGAATGTCGGTAAGGAGGGCAAGTGATGTGCTGCAGCAGTCGCTATAGTGTAGTGTGGATGATACGCGGAGACGGAGGGGGGTCTACGTGTTGGGTGAAGCATTTGACTAGATTGCGTATGGGGTGTTTTGGCATGGGATAGATGTAGCCCGTGTAGGTATCACGACAGAGATATCACGATAATCGGCAATGCATTGTACAGTTGATCACATCTGCTAATTAACCCACCCGGTGTAGAAAGTGCGCGAGTGGGCAAAGTGGTGAAGGCGGAGTATGTTTCATGCCGCCGTCAAACAAACAATCACCCAAGAGGCGGAACTACGAATGATGAATGCGCAGAAAAATGGATCACTAATACACAAGTCCGAGTGAGAGTCGAAACTAGTGTATCGGACGACGGAAAGCCAAGCTCATCAGATCGTGGAGTTGGAGGGCCCGCGTTTTCCCCATGGGAAAAAGCAAGGCAAGCGGCAGCGGAAGCGGAAGCGCAGTCAGAAGAGTAAAAAGAGGCCACCAACCCAGGCAGGTTTCCGAACGGATACCGTCCGCGCGGACTAATCCCGTTTTGTTCCCTTGCCTTGCCTTGCGCGCGTTCGCGTCGAGTGTCCACTCTGACTGTCCGCTGTATTCTTGATCCGCCCGCATTCAAAAGTGCGTCCCCAACCATTCGTGATGCAGGCATTGTGGCATTGTAAGCAGCAAGCGGAGACGCAGCAGTGTTCCGAACGGAAACACACCCGTTATCTACGCAGTATCTGACTTGTCATCCAGCCCCGTCTTGCCCCTCTTTGCTTCTTTTCCCTGATTTGCCTTGATGTGCAAAAAGAGGAGCCGTGGTCCATGCCGGTGAGTTGTGGAGCACACGTCAGGACGGAAAGAGAAAGTCGCTGGAGATTTGACAAGCGATGGTGTGGATGAGCTTGCGGCTTGGTGGGCTGCAAGCAAGGGTGAATTCGGACATCAGGATCGGAGCAGGTCGGCGACCCCACCCTTCGCCGGCCGGGTGGAGGCTTTGCAACAAGGTGGGGCAATTTACCGGCGTCATCGCTGGTTGGACGGCTTTGCTTTCCCACGGTTTTCCTCCACATGTGTGGGGGAACTGTCTTGCTCCTCGTGTCCTGTGCGGCTTGCCCCGGGACTTGTCAACGGATGCCAGATTTTGTGCCGAATGTCTTGTTGTGATGGCAGTGCCTGCGAATGCTCCGTGGGAAGGCTGCCGATCCGGCTGCGTGCCGTGTCGATGGGAGGCACGGTATCTGGCGGAACTCTCGCGACCGTTGATTGCCGTTGCATTATCGTAAAGTCATGGATGACCAAGTAGCCATGCGGTTCCGATACAAGTGCGGTGAGTGAGGCTCAGAAACGCCCCTAATTTTGGGTCGACGTCCAGGATGGTCTGGCCGGCTGGTACGGAGGCAGTCTGAACCATTGGATACGGCACTCGTCATACTCCGTACCAAGAGGCACGCACGCCCGGCAAGTGGCATCGGAGCAAAGGGAGTGCGTGTTTCGTCAGGTGGATTTACTGGGGCTCCTGGGTCTAGCTGACAATGGATATTAGGACCTGCGACGGTGGACAAGATGGCTGTACCAGACACAGCAACTGAACGAGACGAGACGGCGCTGCAGATCTTCTGCAAAACGCTCATTGGACTCGTTGGCTTTTTGGCTTAATCTTGATGCGTCACATCTGCTGGCCATTTTTACTTGCCGTCAAGGTTTGGACGGAGTCAGGACAGGCTTTTTTTTGAGATGATGGCCGGGATGTAGGGACGGGAATTGCGCGGTGGTACAGTACGTACAGACGTCGGCATGCATGGACGCGGTGCCGTCGAGTCGGCGCCAGGGACCTTCGGCCGGGAGAAGACAGGACGCAGGGGTGGAACGTTGACCGAAACATTGCGCCCACCGGGGTTCAGGACTGCACTTGGGTGAATATTCCACCAGTGTTTCCCATTCATCCAAACCGTTCATTGCTCGCAGTCGGGACGTGGAAACGGATCGTGATCGCGTCTGTTGTGTCAAGACTCCAAGAGTGGATGACCTGTGTATGTGGGAAGTACTGGACAGGGGTAACCACGCCCCAGTCCCGACTGTTGCCGAATCCAGCTGGGCGAATGGAGATACTTCCAGGTGTGGAATGGGACGTGATTGGGCGCCCGCCGGTGCAAGGGCATCGATTTTGATTACGGGAGCGATTGAATCGGGAATTGTGCATCTTGTTCTTTCGGACTAAAGGGCGTGTATCGTGTGTCGATCCAACGAGACGACGAAACCCTGATGGATTGGGGCAAGCGAGAGCGAGGGTGTGGCCTTTGAGAAGCCGACTTGGTGAAGAAGCCGACTTGCACGGCTTCTTGGGCCCCTTCTGCGGGCCACCTTCTGCTCGCAATTTACTGCGTACTGACAGTGGCGGGTGTCATGATGCTGCGTTGTGCAGAATTATGACAGAACCCGAGGCTGGAGTGGTGTCCTCAGACAGTCACAAAAACGCCAGACACGCCGGCCATCGCTTGAGGCTGGCTGCGCTTGACTGCCTTGGGACACCTGCCCAGAATGCCGCATCGGCCACGGTCCGTTGGTGGTGAGCGACGAGTGACGAGTGGTGACTAAGGGTAGGCGCAATTGACCCAATGGCACGGGTGCAGTTTGAGATGAGGTGTGAAAAATTGCAGAGCGGCTCGTGATGCTTTAAAGTTGGAGGGGGCCACTGGGGGAATGAGGGTTACGATAGGCTAAGGATTATGTAGGCGTCTGTGGTTGGATGCTGCGGTGAGCGGAGGTGGACTGGCTGTGGTGCCTGTGTCTGGGCGTGATCCTTGGAGCCCACACCGGAGCTGACTCGATTGGACCTGACTCGCGAGGCTGGCGCTGGTTAGTGATGTTGGACTCTGGTAAATAGTGACCCGGTGGACGAGGTACCTGGAGGCAGGTATCCGTACTGAGGGCGGCGCCTCAAGGAGTACTTGTTCCAGCCCTGGGGCAGCCAACGGCACGGCTGCAGGTTGGTGATTGGCGGCTGGCCGTTCTCCACAAGGTGTGAGTGACGAGAGATGGGGTCAAGGGCCTGGGTTGCTGCATTCGGGTGGAGGCCGTGGAGGAAGAGGTCATGATCCCTGGATGACGATTCGTCCCTTGGATTCCAGGAACTCTGGCGACGGGGACTGGGACTGGGGCTGGAGTACCAAGGTCCCCAAGAACCCAAGCCTCCTCAAGCCAAGGCTTTGCCTATTTCCTGCTGTCGTCCGGGCCTCGTCTTGACACATACGGGATTGGGGAGAAATGGATCTGGCGGAGAAGGTCAGTCGGATACGGGGCCGCGGGAGGTGAACTGTGGACTGTGGACTCTGGACTCCCTACCTAGTACGGAGGATAGAAGGCTAGCGAGTCTCTAGCGACAACAGGTGTTTTGCGGTGAAGGAGATCGTCCAGCTGGTCTGTTTGTTGTTTTTGGGGCCGGGTGAGCTTTCTGGAGAAGGTCAAGTTCTAGGCTGTGGCATGGCGGTACGTAGCATGGCGACATGGAAGAGCTAGCGTCGATGCGGCAAGGTGGACGTGTTGCAGCTGCTGAGACACATCACACTACGCAGCAGATATGGCAGGCATGGGTCCATTGTTGATAACACGAAATGGTAGGAGCACTGGAGACGCTGGACTCTGAAGGAAAGTGGTAACGAACAAAGAGGCCGCCTTCCCATAGTGCCTGCCCATCGTGTCTGGGCCCAGGAAGGAAGGAAGCAACAGCTGTCATTTGTTTAGAGCAAGTGCGGGTGGATTCACGGGAAAGAGAGGGTTTCCTACAAAGTACGTAGCTTACCTTAGGGCAGAGGGGATCGGGGCAGGATCGGCCGGGGTGCGCCAGTTGCATACGGGCGGGAAAATCAGGTATTGCCTCATGTACGAGGCCGCAAACTGCAAGTCGACAGCAATCTCGAATGCAGGCCGGCGGGTGTTGTCACGATTTGATAGTTGACGGGCGCAGTAGAGTTTGGTCCTTGGTTGTATGGACTCTGTGCTCGAGATGACTTGCCTCGACGATCTGTGATAACCTGCCCGGTGAGAGAGGCAGGCACCCCACTATGGAAGCCGCGGCGCCCCTCATGTTCAACCCCCTCCCGAGCCCCCAGAGATTCGCAGCTGCTCCGTACTGCGTCCCAAACGGCCAAAGATGCAAGCTTGGCTGGAAGGAGGCAGGGATGGTGGGAGTTGCGATTACGACATCTGCAGTTGGCTTCACATGCGATGATGCCGAAGCAAGCCAGCGGGCGCGGCGGCTGTTTGGTTGTAGGTTGTCTGCTGATGCGCTGGAAGGTGTCAAAGATGAGGTCAGGAAGTGATAGAGTTGGAGGTTGTGAGATTTCGTTTGCCATGTTCGGCGCAGTGGTTGGCTCGACCGGATGGATGGAAGGTGGCATAAAGGATATATGGGATGGAACACCACCACCAGGAGAAGCACACGCGAGCTTCGCCGTGGCGGACGGGGAGGCGCTGGATGAAGAATCCCATGGCGTCTGTCAGTCTGTAGTCTCGACTCTGCAGGCCGTGGCACCGTGAGGTAAGCAGTCAGTAGCCGTCACCAATGGAACACATCGATGCAGAACGATGTAAGAGCGCCCTGACATTGCGCAGCGATTGCGCAGTGCGGCTTGGTTCCACGCTTCCCTCTCTTGGCCAATCCCGGTCAAGGTCCAACGGCAAGCCTGGAAAACGCAACAACGTCCCGTGGTCTCTGTGTCACTGCGCTCGATGCAGGTCACGGGTCATCGGACAAGACAGATTTGACAGCTCGAGGGCGTCGAGGTCATGGCGTGGAATGGAAGGGAATGCAAGCAGACAATCTCGGTGGGAAAGTGCATCCATCGTAGCGTGGCATCATGAAGACGTGCGGACGGGAGACCTCGAGGTGAGGGAAGGTGAGGTATTTCGTGTGGAGTACGTACAATCTCCCCGATACGTACTCTCTCTACTGTGGTACAAATGTACTGTAGGTTGTAAGGAAGGTACCGCAGCACCGCAGGGAACTTCAAAGTCTGGCGCTCCGTCTCATCCAGCATCCTTGTCTCAAGCCTGACTAACTCTTGTCCACTTCTCCATATTTGCTGCTTTGCACTTGTTCTTGCTAATGCTAGCTTCGTTTCCCCATAATTCGGGGTACGCAGAGATCCACGTCGTGCTGTGGTCGAAGTGGTCCTGCTTTAATTATTACCCTCTGCCTTTTTCCTGACCTTGCCAGGTGTAGAATGGTGCAGCTGGGCAGCTGGGGAGGAGCAGGGGTGTTCCGCCTCCCTCGTTTCTTCGCCCGGCCTAGTCTCGTCAATGGATCGGAGAGTGAAAGGAGCCAGAAAGAGGAGGGGGTCGCCAGGGGGTGTACCTCAGTCCTTGACTCTATAGGCCGGGGGGGGGGGGTACACACAGTAAAGGATACCTCGTGGGAATTCCAGACGAAAGAAAGAGAGTCCGTTCCCAGTTTCTCTCTTTCCAGGCAGGCTGTCTGTTGCAAAAAGATTGATCCCATTGGAATAATATAATACCTCCGCCCATCCCCTTCGCACCCTTGGACCCCACATTCCCGCTTCTCCTTTGCTGCCCTTTTCCCACCTCGAGCATTTGCCCGTAGCTCCGGCTTTTCCAAAAAATTCGAGCTTGATGTTGCCTCGTCCTTTGCATCTCCAATTCCAGACCTTGCCCAACACAGCATCGACCACCAAATCACGAGACACACGCCCCAGACACACCACACACAAGGTCTCTAACCAAAGGGTCGTCCGCACCCATAGCAGCAGCAACATTTAGTATCAGGCTTGGAAACATTCAATGCTCATCTCAACGCAACCTCGTTCCGCCTTGTTCTGTTGTTTACGTTTGTGTCCTGCCTCAAGACGAGGATCTACCGCCCCAGCTTTGACGACGTGTACGCAAAGCTCATCCGCCGCCCGTATATGCGAGCCCCTTACATCTGCAAGCCGCTTCCATACGTATTGAGTCTCCGGACATTACAGACGATTCTTGATCTATACTCTCGGCCATCACCCGAGACTGACGATACCTTTCTACTTCACTTGTAAGCAAACGGCCTCTTCAACGAGCAGTCTCTAAATAGGGGAGACTGCTTGAGTGCCGCGACAATGGCGACCGAAACCACCACCACTACTACCACCGCCCCCGAGGCAACGCCTGCTCCCGAGCCGGCCACCGATCTATCGGCGCTGACGATGGCGACCACGGAAGAGCCCGCCGAGGCTGCCGAGGACCCGAAAAACGACGACGCCAACGACACCTCCTCGGACCAGGAGCAGAGCAAGAAGCGCTCATCATCGGACGCGGACCTGAAGGATGGAGCGCCCCCGACCAAGATTACGAAGCGCAGAGCCGCCCGCGCCTGCGTGAGCTGTCGCGCGCGCAAGGTCCGCTGCGACGTGGTTGAAGGCGCGCCCTGCGGCAACTGCAGATGGGACAATGTCGAGTGCGTTGTCCAGGAGAGCCGCCGACGAAAGTGAGTTTGACGTCTCCGTATCTTCGTCCGCGACCGAAGTCCGGTATCTTGCAACTCGCCGGTGCCTCGGCACGATGCAGGCGGACGATTGGGGATGCCGACATGACGCCCATGGGGAAACCCCCAATCTCGCAAAGTTGACCCCCGCTGACTTCTTGGCGCGTTTGTAGGAAGAACTTGTTGACTGCCAGCACGGCGGGGCACCATGGTGTGGGAGCCGAGGCACAGTTGCGCTCCAAGGGCGCAAACCCAATCAACATTCACAGCAGCGCGGAACTGCGCCGACCTAGCAATGCATCGGTGGCCTCGGTCAACGGCTCCATCGCCGCGAACCCCGTTCCCGCATCCTCCGGCGTGCCCCTGAATGCGACGTCTGGCATTGGTGCCGGCGTTGCTCCTGCTGCTGGTTCAGGATCTGCAGGAGGAAACGGAATCGGCGTTGGAATTGGCCCTGGTGTTCTCGGGGGCCTGTCGGTACCCGGCGGCTCTTCAGACGGAATCGAGGGTCACGTTCCGCACATGATCTGTAAGTTTGCCTTCGTCTCTGTCGCACAATTCTTTTTTTGGCCCTGCAACACCTTTTTTTTTTTTGGAATCAATTTTCTAGCGTGGGATCTTTCAATTCCGCACCGCACATCCAAATTGCGCCCCCTGTTTGTTGTGTCTTCTTTTTTGTTCCTGGTTTTGCCCATCGCTGCCCTGTCTGGGGGGCTCAGACTGGGGGAGGGGACGGAACGGGGTAAAGTGTGGAGGGGCGTCTTGGACTTTTCCTACCCCGTGACCTGGGGCCTTTCTCCGCCTTTCCTCGTCCAGTCAAGTCTCTCCTGATTCTTCAGCGTACCCCCCCTCCGTTCCGCACTCCGTCCGCGGCCCCAGCTCCGTCCCTCCCACGTCCCTTAGCCTCTCACACGTAATCCACATTCACATGCCAGTCTTGGTCTGCAGTCATTATCATCGTCCAACCCACCCCAGACCAAAGCGGTCAATGTTTTGGGACGACTCGCTGACCACGGGACCTTGTGAATCTTAGATCAACGATCGGGTTACCGTCATGACAGCGCAGCGCTGCTCACCAAGCTGCAGTCTGCTGCGGCCGCAGCGTCAGCAGATGGCAACTCTCGTCGCCTGTTGTCCAACCTGCTCGCCCAGGCCTCTCTCTTTGGCGGCATGGGCGGTGCAGGCGGCGCCGGCGACGGGCGAACGAGTCAATTCCTCGCCTCCCTCGAGGAGCCCGACCTCCACGGCCAGCTCCCGGCCTTTGTGAAACCGCTACCCGCCAAGATCGCCCAGGAGGATGTTACCTACCTGCACGCAAAGGGTGCCCTGACTCTGCCTGCGCTACCGTTGCAGAATGCTCTGCTCCAGTCCTACGTCGAATACGTTCATCCGTACATGCCGCTGCTCGAGCTGTACGACTTTCTGGCCATCATCAACGCCCAGGATGGGCTGTGCGGTCAGATCAGCCTGTTCTTGTATCAGGCCGTCATGTTTTCCGCCACCGCCTTTGTCGACATGAAGGTCCTTCGCGAGGCGGGATACCCGACGCGGAAAGCCGCCAGGAAGGCCTTCTTCCAGAAGACGAGGGTAAGTGGCCCGTCCCTGAACTTTCTTTGACGCCGCGCTAGCGACAGGGGTCACCCCCACGCTCATCCCTTTCACATGCTAAACGTTCGTCTGCAGCTGCTCTACGACTTTGACTACGAGTCGGATCGCCTCGTCCTCGTCCAGGCCCTTCTTCTGATGACGTACTGGTACGAGACCCCCGACGACCAAAAGGACACATGGCACTGGATGGGCGTTGCCATTTCGCTGGCCCACACCATTGGCCTGCACCGCGACCCGGCCGCCACGAGCATGCCGGTTCGTAAGCAGAAGCTGTGGAAGCGTATCTGGTGGTCTTGTTTCATGCGCGACCGCCTCATCGCCCTGGGCATGCGCAGGCCCACCCGCATCAAGGATGAGGACTTTGACGTGCCGATGCTGCAGGAGAACGACTTTGAGCTCGAGATTCTGCCCGAGGAGAACAAGATCATTCCCGCCGAGTGTATGCTGCTCCGCGATGTCTTGATGCAGCGGGAGTTGGCCGCGCTGTGCATCTCCAAGGCGCAGCTGTGTATCTGCATCAGCCACATGCTCAAGGCCCAGTACTCCGTCCTCATCCGTGACAAGATGCGCCCGGAGAACACCGTCAACAGCACCATGATGCTGTTCCCGAATAAGAAGCTCGACAATGTCGAGAGTGTGACTTCGGTAGACCTGGAGCTTATGGCCTGGGCCGACACCTTGCCCGCCATCTGCCAGTACAGGCCCCTGACGCCCCTCGATGTCAAGAACGGGCGGTCGACTGTTGCCGTCCAGCGCACCCTGCTGCACATGGTCTACTACACCACCATCTCGGCCCTGCATCGCCCGCAGTTCCTGCCGTCGTCTCCAGTTCACGCACCGACAACCTCCCGGCAGGTGCAGGAGATGTCCCGGCTCCGGGTCCGCGACGCCGCGATGCACGTCACCCGGATGGCGGCCGAGCTCCACCAGCTCCGCCTCGAGAGGTGTCTCCCCACCACCGGCGTGACCGTCATCCTGCCGGCCATGATCATTCATCTTCTGGAAATGAAGAACCCCGTCTCGCAGTCCAGAGACCGCGCCACTCGTGGCTTCCGCCAGTGCATGCGTGTCATGGAGAAGCTGCGCGAGATCTACGCCGCCGCCGACTACGCCACCGGGTTCCTCGATGCGGCCCTCCGCAAGGCTGCCATTGACATTAACCTTCAGCAGACCACCGCGCCCATGACGCAGCAGAACCTCAAGCTTGCCGAGCCGACATTTGGCGCGCAGACGCCCCCGCCCGATAACATCCCCTACATGACGACCGGCGAGGCCCTCTTCGCCAACAAGCCGAACCCCCAGCGCGAGTTCCTGCCGCAGACCATCAACGCCGCAGCGCTCGACTTGTCTGCGCAGAGCCCGCCGCCGACCGAGAAGGACCACGAGTCTTCGCTTGAGGCTATGACACCCAGCGCCAACGGCAGCTTCGGCAGCACCGAGGAGCCCGGCCCACTCGACCTCGAGTTCCTGCAGACCCAAGAGGAGATTGACTGGAACGCCATGACGGGCACAGAGTTTGATGTTGATCAGTGGCTCCAGTTCCCGCCAGAGGGCGTCAACAACACAGACGACGGGTTCATGGCCAACGTTTTTGGGGAAGATGGCATGAACGACGCCATGAACTGGGCGGCGGCCGGTGTGGACACGACTACGAAGGATGGCGACGGTGCAGCTGAAATTGCCACCCTCGCCTAACGCGCATGATCTCACGTTTTGCGCTCTTGCATTTTACATTCGCATATAGACTCCTTGGGAGCATCTTTACAAATTCACGATGGGATTTTCTGGTTGGAAGCATACTTTGCACTACATGGAGTCGGGATAGAGCAAAACAAAAAGGGAGGCTCAGGATTTCGTGTGTGTTAATGAAACGGCGTTTTCGGCCGGATGGGTTTTTTCAGGCTTCGGAGGGGCTCATTGGAGTAGGGGGGTTTGATTGGATACCCTCATGCGGCGCCTGGTATTTGTTCAACTATGTAGTAGTGTAATGATGGCTTGAATGAGAACACGAGTTGAAAGAAGTGGTGTTTGCATGTGACTGCGGTGTTCGTAGGGGTTGACTCGGTGTGACAACGTCCGAAGCAACGGATGCACCGGCTCGCCGGGGTCACTCGGACGTCTCGGGCTTTCGGGCCCAAATAGCGCGGCTATAGCATGTCAGTCTTGCTGCCACCATCTTCAACTTCACAAGTGATCATCACCGGCAGTCAGTCAACTCACAGTGGCCAGTACGCGTGATTCCCACGATCAGCGAGATCCCTCCGCACCTCGGCGGCAAAGACGTGCACCTCCTCCTCCCTCCACCCGTGCACCCGCGTCATGGGCGCCATGATCATGCCAGCCGTGTTGGAGGCGAGGTTCTCGCGCGTCCACGACCCGAGCTCCTTGAGGTGCGGATTGCGCGGCCAGCTGTTGAGGGGCCAGGTGAAGCGGCGGTCTTGGACGTCGCTGAAGCCTGTCTCCGTCATGAGCGTCGTGAGGTCGTCGAGAGGGATAAAGGGGCACCCAAAGACTTTTAGGGCCGAGGAGACGTAGGCGAGGGATCTGGAAAAGGCATCGCTTGTGGATGCTGAGCTATCTGCGCGGGTTATTGTCTCTTCTACTTCTTGGAGCTCGATGTAGCCGCCGGGGTTGAGGTTGCTGTGCTGTCAGTACGTGATCGATGCGTTTGGCCGGCGGGTTGACGAGATTAGGCATACTCGTAGCACTTTTTGAGGAGTTCGGGCCAGCTGCGCACGCTTCCTGACATGCCGCGTATGTGGATGTAGTCAAAGTGCCTCGAGTAGATCCACTCGTTGTCGAGGTCGTCCACTTCGAACTGAACGTTGGGTGGGACGCTGGGGGTCCATCGTCAGCTGTGTCTCCAGAACGGACTTCGCCAACGCACAATTCTGGCTGCGTGGCCGACAGATCGAAGCCGAGGACGTCCGCGTTGGGGTGCTCGTCGCCAAAGTCGATGCACCAGATGCCGGTGCCCGTCCCGACGTCGAGCACGCGGCCGCCCTTCCACTCGGGATCATTCGGAGGCGCGAACCCCAGCCTGTTGTCGAATGTGAGGAGGAACAGGTGGTGTTGCAGGTCTAGCCGGTCGGTTTCCAGCTCGTCGTTTGGTCCAAAGTATTCTGGAAAGCTTTTATTTAGTATGGGAGTCGGAGGCCGTGGATATGCGACTAACTGCCTTCTTTGTAACGATGATATGTTCTGCCGTTTTCGACGCGGTAGTCTATGATAGAGCTTCGGAGGCTTGTCGTAGCAGAGAAATCGTCCTGTTATCCCGTGATTAGAGGGTTCACCAGGCTTGGAAACTTGCGTACACTCCCGATGGTTGAATCCGTGTCGCCCTGCACGGGTGTCAGTCATGTTCTGCAGTCTCAGATGTGATCTCCGGCATCGCCTCAGAGCACGCACCGGCACGTCAGGCTCAGGGGCGAGGTCATCTTCGGAATTCTCTAGGGACATGTTTTCTCGTGAGATGTAAAGGCATGGTGTTGCCCTCTCAGAGACTCCAGCCCCTCATCCGATAGTCCGTCGCCTCGGATTCGGAAAGCATGTTAGTTGGAAGATACGACGGATACGACCCAGCGAGTCAAGGCACCCCAGCCGAGCGGGCCCGGAGTCCTAAACTCGCCGCAAGACGGTTGGGATGGCAGTTGCTTTGATGTGTTCCCCAGACTCTCTCTTGACCCACAGACCTGACGTCTGCCGTTGTCGTCGAGAGTCAAAGGCCTCGGGAAGTCGAGCTCACATCCCTGTACCATCGTCGGTCTGCTTACCTAATCCCGGTGACCATCCCCGCATCTCAACACGGAGCCCCCCTTATCTACCCCGATAATGCGGACCGGGGTCTTCGGCGTCAAGTCGGAGGACACCTTTGTTGGAACCTGCATCTCTCATCAAATCAGTCGTCCGAGCATGATCTCATGGCTCTCCCACCAGGCCATGACCACGTCGTAGACCCACCAATCAAGAAACATGGCCGGCAACGGGACCCGGAGCCGAACCGGATGTCTGGACTGTCGGCGACGAAAGCGGAGGTGCGATGAAGGGAAGCCAAAGTGCACCAGCTGTCGCAGGCACGGCGTCGTGTGTGTGTACGTCAAGTCGAGCCAGTCTTCGCCGTCCAAGTTTCTCCTCTCTGTGGCATCGGGCCACTTCATCGCGCCGTTGGAGTCGCCGGCGAGCGATTCCTTTGTGAACCTTCGAAGCGATGAGCTGGCTCTCGTCTGTCAGCAGTACGCAGACGGCCCCAGAGGGGTGTTGCCGTCGTCTCAAGAGCAGCTCATCCCGGCTCTGAGCTGGCTGCCAAAGTCAAGCACGCTCCCCGGCGGACGAGAAAGCATGATGGTTCAGTACTGTAAGTAGTCGAGGTCTACGCCAGACAGCCGCTCTGACAAGACAGACTTTGAGGTCATCAGCAACAGCCGGGTGTATGTCCCCAGCGAGAGGAACCTCTTCCGGACGTGCGTCATGCCCATACTCCTGAGCAGCAGCGGCCCTCTCTTTTCTACCGTCCTAGCACTGAGCGCGGCGGAAATGGTTCGGAGGACCCCGCAAGACGGGGTAGACTATGCCGGGGCGGCCATCCGATACAAAATCAACGCCTTGACGCAGCTGCAGTCGAAGCTCAACACCGCCCCCGAGGCGGAGGAGAACCTCCTGACGTGTGTGCTCCAGGCCTCCTTGGAGATAGCCGAGGGGTCTCGGCCGTCGTGGTTGAGGCATCTGCGGGGTGCTCTGGCCATCATGGATAACCACGGCGACTGGATCACGCCTGAGTGCGCCGCTCTCGCGCTCCAGTATTTTCGATTTCGATACATCTTGATGAAGACGACCGGATGTAAAGCGCCGCATCATGATGGACAGACCGACGACTGTGATGAAGCCATCCAACGCCTCGAACGGCTCTTGCCAGGCCAAGGGACGTTCCAGACCATTGACCCCCAAATCGGTTGTTCGATGGAGCTAGTTCAGTTGATTAGCATGGTCTCAGCAGGGGCTCAAAAGGACGGCGGGTACACGGAAGAGGGATCACGTCTCGAGAGACGCATTCGAGAGTTGGACTTTTCTGCCGGGAGCATGCACGACGACTACCTCGTCAAAAGCGCCGAGTGCTTTCGGTTCGCTGCTCTGATTTACCTCCAGCTGATTGTGTACGGCGCTACCGTACGGACTCGGGCGATTCCGCACTTGTTGCAGACGCTGTTGGGTCATCTTGGCGAGGTGATTGTCGAGGACCAGCCGAGGCGATCGTTTCCAATGTGGCCGCTGTTCATCGCGGGGTGTGTCAGTTCCAGTGACGCACACCGCAAGGCTGTTCTTGATCTATTCAACCTTCTGGACAGCAAGTGGCCTATCAGCAATATCTCGACGGTGAAGAGGGTTGTTTGGACAATCTGGCAGACAAGGGACTTTGACGGTGGCGGTGCAACGTCCACGGATCAAGACTGGCAGGAGATTATTGACAGGTTTGGATGGAAGCTTTCCTTGTCGTAGGGGCTCGGATCTGAGGCTCATTCACACATCATGTTCGCGGTCTTTCCCCCACTACGTACCATGTAACGACGTTGATCGGCATCCCGACGCATTCTCGTGGTTGGGGCCGACCCGGCCCGCTGCGGCCCCCTCTCGGCATCTTAGCGCCGACCCACCAACCCCGCATTCCCGGACCCGAGGCAAGCCCAATGTTGGGGAACCGCGTCAAGTACCCCAGCCACCCCCGGACTCATCTCACTCGTCTCCCTCACCTCTCGTCTCAACATCACACCTCCATTTCAACACGAGAAAGGGAACAAACATCATGGACACCCACGAGATCCCCCGCAAGCTCTGGGAGCACCCGGATCCCAAGAGCACACAAATGTACCAATATCTACAATCGGTCAATTCCAAGTTTAACCTCCAGCTCAAGGTCAGTATGCCCCGATTCCCCCCCAATGTTAGTCCGTCCGCTTACACGATTCCAGACCTTTAACGACCTCCACAACTGGACAGTAGCCAACCGCGCCACCTTCTATGGCCATCTCTTTGACTACGCCAATTTGATCCACGAAGGGCGTCCAACCTCTGTTGTGGATGAATCGCTCACGATAGACGCCATCCCCAAGTGGTTCCCTGGTGTGCGTCTCAATTGGGCCGAGAACCTCCTCTTCACGCGAGGCTCGTCTGATGCGGCCGACCACCACGGCACCGAGGGTAAGGAAGACGACAAAGTTGCCGTCACCGAGATTCGAGAAGGTAACCGCGGTGATGTACGCAACCTCACCTGGGGCGAGCTCCGTCGCGATGCAGGTCGTCTGGCAGCAGCCCTGAAAGCAAGAGGCGTCAAGGAGAGAGACCGCGTCGTTCTCGTCGGTGCCAACTCTATCGAGACGCTGCTGGTGTTTGTGGCGACGACATGGCTGGGCGGCATCTTTAGTAGTTCGTCCACGGATATGGGCGTCAAGGGCATCCTGCAGAGGACCACGCAGGTCGATCCCAAGGTATGTCACTCCCCGCCTCCTAGAACTGCACTCACACACGCCAGTTCATCTTCTTTGACGACGCCACGGTGTACAACGGCAAGACAGCCGACCTTCGAGACAAGATGGCCGAGGTCGTCTCCGGCATGGGCTCGTGTCCTTCCTTTTCTGGTCTCGTATCGATCCCACGCTTCTCCAAGCCCTACGATGTGTCCTCGATCCCCAAGACCGAGACGTGGTCCAAGTTCCTTAGCTCCTCCACCTTAGCAGCACCGTCATTCACGCGTATCCCCTTCCACGCACCGTTCCTCATCTACTACTCGTCTGGCACCACGGGTATCCCCAAGGCTATCGTGCACACCGTCGGCGGCGTCATGCTTAACAGCTTCAAAGAAGGCCGCCTGCACGAGTCAATGTCACCCGAGTCCGTCACTCTGCAGTACACCACAACCGGCTGGATCATGTACCTCGCCAACGTGGCCGCTCTGTTATCGGGAGCCCGTGTCGTCATGTACGATGGCTCGCCTTTCGTCCCCGACCTCAAGTCATTCATCCGCATCCTCGGCGAGCAGCGGGTGACAAAACTGGGTATCAGCCCGAGGTGGATGTTTGAGGTCGCCAAGAATAAGATCAGCCCGCGGGAGGTGACGGATCTTAGCTCGCTGAAGATTGTCACCAGCACAGGCATGGTCCTCTCTGACCAGCTGTTCGAATGGTTCTACGACGCAGGATTCCCGAAGCATGTCCATCTTGCCAACATTTCTGGTGGCACCGACATTGTAAGTCACCCACACATGCCAGACTTCTTTACTGACACTTACAGGCCGGCTGCTTCGGTATGGAGAACCCCCTTGACCCCGTATACGTGGGCGGCACCCAAGGGCCATCCCTCGGCGTCCCCATCGCCATCTACGAAGCCCAGTTGCCCGACGGACCTGGCGAGGCCGTGCCAAACGGAACACCTGGTGAACTCGTTGCCACCGCTGCCTTCCCCAACATCCCGTGCTTCCTCTGGGGCGATTCAGCACCCCCACAGTTGTCACCAAGCTCGCCGAATTTTGCCTCTGCCGCCCCAGGCTCCAAGTATCACTCGGCATACTTTGCTCGCTTTGATAACGTCTGGGCACACGGCGACTTCTGCTCCATCCACCCAAAGACGGGCAACATTTCCTTCCTCGGACGTGCTGACGGTGTGCTGAACCCTAGCGGTGTTCGCTTTGGCAGTGCCGAGATCTACGCAGTGATTGAGCGGAACTTTTCGAACAAGGTGGTCGACAGCCTATGTGTCGGGCAGAGGCGTCCCACTGACAACGACGAGAGCGTGATGCTCTTCCTGATGATGCGCGAGGGCGAGAAGTTTGACCGCCAGCTGGTGGCTGAGGTCAAGGACAAGATTCAGAGAGAGTTGACAAAGAGGCATGTGCCCAAGTACATCTTTCAGACGCCGGAGATACCAGTAAGCCCAGCGGTTCCCTATCTACGGAACCACGCTAACAAAACAGACGACGGTCAACCTCAAAAAGGTCGAGCTCCCGGTGAAGCAGATTGTCTCGGGCCGGACCATTAAGCCAAGTGGCACGCTCCTCAACCCTCAGAGTCTGGACTTTTACTACCAGTTCGCCAAGATTGAGGAGCTGCTCGCCGGTAAGGAGAAGCTGTAAAAAGACATGTACAGAAGACGTTGGATCTAGAGCGATATAGGATACCAGATAGAGTACAGCTCACCCCAGAATCAAAGACACATCCTTTAGAGGCAGCCCCTCCCACGCAGTCCTGTCGACCTGGCCACTCGCGAGGCGGTACGCGACCCCGTCAAGCCACTCCACCCACAGCACGCTATACACATCTGAGGCCGTGAACGGGTGCGTGTAGCGTTTGATCGTCTCATCAAAGGTCTTTTTGTAGTTACGCGCACGGGAGATGGCAACCAACTCGACCTCCTTCGCAGCAGCCCATCCGACATCCAGGTGAGGGAAGATTTCGAGTTGACCTTTATTGTGCAATCGCAACCACCCAATCTTTTTCTCCTCACTATAGAGCGAGACGTCATTGTGTTCGTCCGTCTGAAAAGCAGACACGCGGGCGCGGCGGGTATCGCAGCTAATGTACAGCGTCTGTTCCGGCATGAACGGCTGCGTCGATTCCTGAATGTCCGGCACGGGGAAAGGCCAGTACCACGGGTGCTCGTCGTCATGGTCAGACATACTACTGTGTCTAAAGGTATACTCGTCGCACCCATCGGGGTAAAGCAGTACGTCCCCTTCCTCGCCGTGTCTTGGACCAGGAATCTCTTGTCGAGTCCACCCTGGAGGCAAGTGCCGAGTACAGTCCTTGTACGCCTGGCGATTCTCGAACCAGGAGGGTCTGATTTTTCTTCTCTGCGCTGATGTCGGCGTGGCGCAGGCGTACCACGTGGTTATGGGGATTGTCTCTCTGATCGAGTAAGCCAGAGGATTCGCTGGACCGGCTTCATTGCGCCCGACGGAGACGAGACCTTCCCAACCCACCCACGACCAAGACGGAAGACCACATGGACCGAGCTGGCTCGCAGTAGGGCGATCAGAGACAGTCCGTCGTCGGAGATCGGTGTGGCTCCAGTACGGCGTCCAACCGAGTGCCGCTTCAAAGTACATCTCCGGGATGCCATAGAGGAAGCCGCCCGAGAAGCACCGACTGATGACGTGTAAGAGACCGCTGATGCTGGGCAGGGCATCTTCGTCGTATGTCAGAGCTCTCGGGTTGTAGTCTGCAATGATGTTGGCCAAGGAGTCGAGATTTGGCATCCCGCGCATGATCTCGCCTAAGCGGGGATCAATGTACTTGCCAGCCTCAACGCCAAAGTGAAGTTGCTCCTCCCATACGCTGCACTGACACATCCAGTGCAGAGAATGATTACTGACGATGAGGCGCCGTGGGGACATCTTGAACTCTTGGTATGTCCACGCGCGCTCGTGATAGGCTCCCCAGTGACTCAGGCTGAAAACGTTGTTCTTGTCTCGGATGAACTGCTCGTCGCCAAAGGGTATTGGGCTCCAACCTTCGTCTTCGCCTTGGTCCGTCTGGTCCTTGGGCGATGATACGCCCCGCAGACCGGGAAAGCCGTCCTCGGCATCACCATCGAGTGCGACGATGGTGAGTGAAGCGTTTGCGAAGATGGCGGCCATAAGCTGGAGCTGCTGATTGCTCTCTTCTGCCCGGGCATGGTTGACGCAGAGGGTGTCGACCCAGAGGTACCGCTCCCCAATGACGGAGGTGAGGTGCACGGCGTGACGCACCATGGGGGCGAGCTGGGAAGCGATAACAGGGTCGTCAATGGCGCCAGGCGTTTGGAGTTTCGAGATTGTGTCGCCGAGGATGTGCAATCCGGGCGTCTTGCCCCAGCGGTAGCTCAGCGTGACGTAGGATTCGCAACCGTCTCCTGGGACGATGCATCGCCTCTCGGTGTCTACCACCCAGGCTGGACGAATCGGCCAGATCTTGACGGGATTGGCGCATTTGGGGCCGTGGGAGGACGCGCATTGCTGCTTCCAGGGTGTCACGACGCTGGTATCGATCCATTCTGGGTCGAGGATGCGAGCGATACCCGGGTGGCTCGGAATGGAGTCACTTTTCACAAGCAAGAGGTCGGCGTATCGGCCGCCGGTCTTGATGTTTTCTGTGAGCTGGAGCGCGCCTGTTCGAGGGAATCTGATGCCCACATCGGCAGAGTCGAGGCTTTTGAGCTGTCTTGATTTACTGCAAAGCTCGTGGAACATCTTGACAATGGGTACATGTGTGCTGCATTTCGAAGAGAGGGCTTCTTCAAAGGAGCCTAGGTTGACAGTATCGTGGTATTTGCCGCCAGGAGACGTCGTGAGACGGCTCCAGATTTGGTGGCAGACTTCGCAGTCTGAAATGTCATTAGACTGCGCGGTGCTTGACACAGTCTGCGAGGAAGTTGAGCTGGATTCGTCAGTCTTGATATCCAGCGGCGTTTGAGTCATCCTGACCTTTCAGCCATCATGTCACAGGCTCGAGATTTCTAGCCGGTGAGGCTCAGTCACTTGGTTGAAGACACTCGCTGACACTTGTTAGACTTGTCAAGGAGCTTACGAGCTGCTAGTTAAGGGGTCGTCTGTCACACACTGGGGATCGCCACCGAGCCCCTCATCACTAACTAGGCACCAGCTTCCTCCAGACTATACCAAGGCGGAGTCCACCAGCACAAAAAACACGCTTGTCAGCAGCGAACCAATCGAAGTTATCCGCCATGTCACAAAGTCAGGCGGCCGCTTCACAACACTAGCACACATTGCCAAGACGTTGCGGCGTAGTCCAGGTAAGCAAATCCGTTTGGGGTATTGATCTATCTAATGTACAGGCCTCACAGCAACCAAGATTCAAACCACAACAAACTCACACCCTCGACAACGCAACTTCGGGATCGACATAATCGGGATACTTCCCTCCATGCACACCATACCTCCAAACCATATACCCAATCGTCCCCACAAGGCTCCCCAGCCCAGCAGCACCAGCAACGACCCTCACACCGAGCGCACTCCCCTTCATACCAGCCGCCCTCGCGATCCCAAGCGCCGCAACGCCCGCAGCCGCACCACCGTACGTCCAGTCGTCCACTTCCAGCTGGCTCCGGCTCTCCATCAGCCTCCACGCGCGGTCGCGCCACTCAATGTCCTCGCGGCCGTACATCCTCGCCACCGTGGCGACGCCGGTGAGGCCTAGGCCGATGGCGCTGGCGGTGCCTGATTTGCGAAGGAGGGTGTGTAGTCCGCCTGCGCTTCGGAGTGCTGTCGTTGCTGATGTGGAGAACGGGGTACCGGCGACGGCGGTGGCTGGCACGGGCTTTGTGCCGCGGAGTCGGCGAGCGGCTCCACTCGCGGCCGCGACGCCGAGACCCACTACCGTGCCGGTTGTGTAGCCGCGCGTGAGAACGTGGACTGTGAGGATCGTGCCGGAGAGGGGCTGGTCTTCTGCGTAGGCTGTGTGGGGGAAGTAGCGAGACATGGTTTAGTTCTTTTCTTGTCGGGAAGATGGTTTGTCGAAATTGATAGGCTGCTGAATGATTCCAGGGAGAACTTCGCCGGCACACACAATTGTTCGCAAGAGGCCAAGAGATGCTGGCTGATGGTCACTTGCTGTGTCTTCTCCCTAGACCCCAAGGCACCTTATAACACAACTCGCGCGAGCCACCAGCCTACATGCGGCCGCATGTCCCGATCTAGCGGGACGCGGTCGGCATGGGACGATAGCAATCCCCCCGACTCTGTCAGCGCGCCGGGGTATCGTCCCGCCGCGGAATCCCACGCTAGCGAGCGAATGCGAGGCACCCCCGACGAATAGGAACAATCGCATTCGTCACGGCGCCAGACTAAACCCACAGTGGCATGACTCCCAAAGCCACATTGCTTAGCTGAACTCACCACCAAAAGCAGAGACTGATCGAGATTTACGGTTTGGTATTCATAGGTTTGTTGTCATTAACCGATATCTATGCTGGTGGCTGACCCCACGCCAGATAACAGTGCTGCCGCGCCGGGCTAATCATCATCAGTCATCTCCATCATGCTTTCGCCTTTTTCGTCCTCGTCCATGAGCACCCTTGGTCGGCCGACCTTGGCCTTGCCTTTGGCATCCCGCCGCAGCTTTGGGAGCTTGTTGGATATACGCTCCCTGGCGGCCGCCTTGCCCATCTCGAGCTCCTGCTCAAACGCCTCCAGTTCGTCGCCCTCGGTCACGTCGATTGTGGACGTCTCTTCCAGGGCCTTGTTCAGTAGTTCGGTAGCTATGCTGTCTTGTGGATTAATCGCGAGCGCCTCATGCAACGGCACAACGGCCTTTTCTGGGCGGCCCTCTTCAAGATAGATGAGCGCTTTCGCGCAGAATATCGTCGCGTCTTTGCCGCCCTGTCGCAGGACCTCGTCGAACTCCATGTGTGCGTCCTTCCAGAGCCGCAGGCGACGGTACGCGTGTGCCAGGTTCGTCCTCGGCGCCAGCCACGCTTGCGGGTCAGAGTCAATGTCGGCGGCGATCTTGAGTGCCGCCCGGAAAAATTGGACAGCCTCTTGCGGCTTGTCCTGGTGATATTTGACGACGCCCATCTCATTCAGTAGAAGAGGGTCCGTCTTGCACAGACCGTAGGCCGTCTTGAGGAACTCCTCGGCCAGTGTCATGTTGTTGAGTGCGTGGTTCTGCATGCCCAAGAAGACCTGCGGCAGATGCGTCCCCATGAACAGCCTCGCTGCTGTGGAGTACGCAGAGATGGCCTGGTCGTGCTCGCCCTCGGCGGCGAAGGTGTGGGCGAAGCCGATCCACGCCGGGCCAAAGTGCGCATCCATCATGCTGGCCTTGCTGAAATACCGACGGGCTTCCGCAATCTTGTCAATCGCAAAGTAGTATATGCCCACGGCCAACCACGAGCAGGGCTCCTCGGGGTGGTTGTCCGCCAGGTCGTGAGACACCAAGAAGAGCGCATTCTTCATCTTGAGCTGATACAAACATGCCAGATGCAGAGGGTGGACGCTAAAGTTGTACTTGTCGTCCTGCAGAATGGACTCGGTGATAGCGAGGGCGTCTCTATACCGGCACTGCGTGTAGAGGAGGTCGGCCTTGGCGAGGAGGAGATCCGGGTTGTCCGCCAGACGGTAGTGCGTCGACAGAG